AAACTAATTACTGGTTCCATTCACAAGTTCTTCTAAAGTTATACAATTTGTTTGTTGTTTTATTTAAGATACTGTAGGGATTTTAAGTCCTTTAACACTTTTTCAGATTATCCCACCTTACAACAACGTATGAACAGACATTAATATTATTTAAACATTGTATCAGTGCACTGTTACAACTTACTTATTTCTTTAGCCATAGCCAAGCCCTGAGGGTAGATAATGGGGGAGAGTTTCTTCTCCTTCAGTTTCTCGATAGTGTCCTTGTCGTCTCTCAGGTCCAGCTTGGTTCCCACCAGGATGATGGGCGTGTTGGGGCAGTGGTGTCTCACCTCAGGGTACCACTGGGGGAGGAGAGAGGAGGACACAGTCAGAGGTTGCAGGATGTAAATGGACGGCACGGCAGACGGTGAGGAATGTGGGTGGGCTGCTAAAAGAATTTGCTGGTTCTTCTCCAAATTCAACACGTTGTGACCTTTGAGGCACTCGGGAGCAACAAGAGGATAAAACAGAACTGAACCCCAAATAATCTCCTTCCTTTTAACTATTACTTCTGGAGGGTCTCTACAATAAATTAAAAAACCTGACCTTTCCATAAAGCAACACAATGTCCCACATGCTGTAAGACATACGATGTTTTATAAAACAAAGGCCAATGTGTATTTCAGGTGACCAACATTAAGAGTTAGTTTTAGCCTGGAAATACAATTTAATTTTCATAAAATTCAGAAATGTTTTGTTGTAGATTAAGGGACCATGAGATTATGACAAGAATCAAAAATAAAGTGCTGTGAGTGATTGTGTGATTTAAGTTGATTTTAGGATTTAAAATCAAATGTCTCTAATCTCTGTTAGTTTTAGAGTCAAACATTTTGTCAAAACCTAATCAATTATTCTTGCATCCAAGCTGATCTGACCATCACATGTCATGTTAAACAGTTAAACTGGCGAGATAACGAGCACGTTGTTCTCACCTTGGCACGGACGTTTTCAAAGGAGGCTGGACTGACTAGTGAAAAGCAAATCAGGAACACATCCTGAGGAGGGAAAAGACAACAACATGAATTATAATAGAACATTAAAGCATTGTTTAAATGAACCAACACTGCGATCCTGAAGATAAACTGACCCCAAAACAATACTGACTTAATAGACTCCAAATGTTCAGACACGAGAGTTCACAAAACCGGACCAGTCTGGATTCTGTAGGTTAAACACAAAGTGACTCCCACTTTCAGCTCCCTGTCAGTCTTTGGCACAGAGGCCGGTTTGTTGGAAGGACAAAGAGTGCAGACAAGAGCTCCCTTTCACTTCCTCCAGACAGTGTATAGGTACTGTGGATACAAGGCTCTACTCTGCTGAGACAGTCTTAAGCATTACAGCCCAGTGAATAACTCAGACTAACTGATACTGGTCTGTGTACGGCGGCAGTCTGAGACAAGCAGTTGTTACGTATGAATGCGTTCACATATACATACTGTCTGTGGGTAGGACAGAGGCCTGAGCCTGTCGTAGTCCTCCTGTCCCGCTGTATCCCACAGGCCCAGGTTCACTGGTTTCCCATCAACCATCACATTGGCAGAGTAGTTGTCAAAGCTGTGGAGAGACAGGTGGAGACTGTAACGGACGGTCATTTACAATACGGTGGACGGATATTAACACACTCCTCAACACATCTGACAATATGCCTGTTCTCTTCCATCACACTGGTGGGTTAGCTCCATCATCTAACCCTCAACATATTTCTGTTTGCTGATGAGAGGTGTGTGTGTGTGTGTGTGTGTGTGTGTTACTCACACTGTGGGGATGTACTCCCCAGGGAAGGCATTGGTAGTGTAGCTGATGAGCAGGCATGTTTTACCCACCGCACTAAGAGACGAAGGAGAGGAGGGAAGATTGACACAGAAAATACAATGATGACATGTGGACATTACAGACTGATTCATTCTGTTTTATTGATCACAGTTCATTCTTCAGTGCAACTGAGGCAACAACATGTGGATTTTACAGTGTACTTAATGTAGTAGGTTAAACTGTGTTGTGTGACAAGTGAAGCGTGTCTGGTTTAACCTGTGTTGTCGTCAATTAAATTAAGCTTTTAGCTTCTATAGAGGGGTTTTCCAGACTGGGCGTTTGCAGTACTACTGTCCATAATAAATACATGTACCCATTAACAGACACAGGATATGCACCCAGTAACAATAACAAATAACAACGTCTTAGAGTAGCACTCAACAGACGGACCAACTACTTTACATGTAGTTCCTCTCTGTGGATGAAAAGAGAGGTGTGTGACGTAAACGAGACACAAATGATCCGTGGTTGAGCTGGAAAATGGTTTACGGTATTAACTCAATCTGATCAGGTATAAATCCAAACAAGCACTAAATAATATCTGTCTGGATGCATCGTAAGCCAGAGGGCACGATTAACTCTCATCCATTAATACCATATCATCTGCCACAGATCAAAACTACTACCTGAAAATGATGACAAGTTTGTCTTATTAAGATAAAATAGTAGTAAAAAAATGAGTACTAGTATTACCATGTTTAAATTAGGGTGTGAGATAAACCAGGTTCAGACATTAGTTCATCTTCTCTACGGAGACACATTTTTATTCTTCAGTTTTCCTTTATTATTTAAGAATTTCTAATATTGTCTAAAACGTTTGAGGAAAAATAACAAAAATTGTAAAAAAAAAAAAAAAGAGGCATTTTGTAAGTTTTGGTTTATCATAAATATTAAAAAAAAATAGACTTCTTTTAAGTCAAATAAATCAATCAAGTAAAAGTAGTAAAACATTGAAGCTTTGCGTCAACAAGGACTGGATTATTTGGGTTATTGAGTACATACATATAGGTCAGACAGTCTACAGCTAATTTAAAGTAACTGGGTTATAACTGCGGCACTTTATTGTAAACTTCATAGTCCAAACAATAAAAACAGATTAAATAAATAACCTGTCCCACGGCTTTACGTGGCTGTTAATGAATAACACATTAAGAGCTGATAACAAATCAATCCAAACAGCAAAAAAAACCTTAAAAACTTCCACCAGCTATCAAGTAGCTTATAGCGGTCGACACGGCAGCCTGCGTGTCTAATAAAGGACCCGATGATCGGCCGCACCGAACCGGGTCAGGTCGATAAACCTGTCTGACCCAGCTGGACTGCAGAGCGGAACAACAACAGCTGTCGATCAACGGCGGCACGTTTATCCGCGGCTCGTTAGCCGTTAGCCAACTGTTGGTGCAACCGGGTCAACGGCCACAACGGTTACCTTTCAACCGCCGTTCGAGTCGAGCTGAGAAATGTTAGCAGGTTTAAAAAAAAACAAAAAAAACAGATGGTTCCACTCACCCGTCCCCCACTACCACACACTTTATGGCCTGCATCGGACGGCTCTCTCGCTAAGCAGTCGGCGTCACGGCAGCTCTAGCTCGGTTAGCTTTTAGCTGGCTAACGGCGGCTGAAATAAACCGAGTCCGCGTTTAAAGTACAACGTAAACAACGTGAGACGGTCCTCGAGAGCGGCTTCCGAAACAAAACAACAACAAAAAAAAAAGTTAAATTTGGTGTTTCGTTAGGCGAAATATCCGGCTTGCCCTCACTCTTGCTCAGCAACACCCGGTGAAACTCCAAAGTTGTAATCCAGGCAGGCAACACCCAGGAAAAAAAAAAAAACTCTGGAGTCAAGATTGAGCTCCGAGATCCCTGCAAGTCACATCCGGTCGGAGCAGGTCGGTCAAACACTGCCACCCACTGGTCGCGATGGTGAACTGCAACCTGCTGATGGAAGAACATACTCAGATACTTTTTGCTAAGAGGAATTTGCAATACAACGGTGTAAAAAATATTATGTAAAAGCACATATTGAGAGCAAAGATTACTTAGAATATAAGTGAAGTATTCAGATATTTATATAAAGTAAAAGTACTCTACTACAAATAAAAGTCTTGCATTGGAAACATTATTAAAAGTGTGTTAGTATAATCAGTACTTACTGCTATTGCATTGTTGTTGTTGTTACTGATGCATGTAAATGATCTAATGATTATTTTCATCAGGGATTAATCTGGTGATTATTTTCTCGGTTGATTGTTGTGAAGCTGAAAATAGTGAAGACAGTCAAATAGTGACAGTCTAAACTTCAAAATGATTAAAACTAAATTGAAATAATTAGAAGAAAAAATTGTACTGAAGTAAATGTACTTAGTTATATTCCGCCACTGAGTAAAAGTACTTACAATGCAGTAGGATAGCCCCTGTTAGAGTTATATAGATTTAAATATAATGGTTTCCTCTTAAATGTACCTCACTTGTTGATGTGAAGGACACTTATTTTGAGACTGTACATCAGTTCTTTGTTTACAAACCAACTGCAGAACTGACTCTGATGTGTGAACAACAGAACAAAGCATCGACTTTATTAGTCCTTATTATTACAATTACTTGTAATCAAGTCTGGTTTCTGGTCATATTAAAGCAGATTCATCCTTCTAAGCAGTGTTAAATATTTATAGTAAGTATAATATCTGAATATTTCTACTATTGAGATGCTTCTTCCTTTTTCATTAAATAAATACTGCAAAAACATCCACTCTGCAGTTTTACACGTGAACACCAGAGGGCAGCATGTTACAATTTACTACCGTAAATTCAGTAAATGATACTTTCCAAATCTTTATTGAAAAATATAAAACACCAAACCACCCAACAGGCACACACTCTGTTTCTGGCTCTCACAGTTGCATAAAGTCTTTAACCACCATCCTTGTAATGGTTTTATTTCTCCATCAATTAATCACTGAATCCATGGCAACCATGCAATGTAACATCAACTCTACACACACACACACACACACACACACACACACAGGGGCACACACGCATTAGTAACCTTGACTCTGGATTATGTTATTGAGGGATTTTCCCAGCAAACAACACATTAATAGGATAAACGTCACCATTAAATGGGGGAGTAAAAGCAGAGGAGAGAGATTAATGAAGGATAAACAGGCCTGTCGCTGCACATCAGGGAGTCTGTAAAACACAGTGGAGTCACACTGCGGGACATTAGGATGTCCAACTGAGAAAAGACATTAAAGGGAACATCTTCTCTCTGAGGCAGTATTCATACATCTCCAACATATATTAGAGTTTAGTATGTATCATATAGTATCATATTAGACCGCTAATTAGCAGCATTTATCAGCCCTCCATCGATCTACAGTGTTAGTAACATATCACTGCTGGGTAGTATCACATTAGTTCCTCTTGCTATTTTTTCTACAACTAATTCTGTCTTCTTTCAGCACAATATATCCCAAATATGCATAATTTAAATCTGATGAGTCAGGTGAGAAGATCGATACCAAGAACAGCATCAATCTTCATCTAACTCTTGGCAAAAGAGTGAATAATCTTCTTTTTCCTCAGGAACTCAACAACTTAAGCAGCATGAACGAAGGGTTGGTACAAAAGCTTCACATCAGAGGTGGAAGGAAAGAGGATTTAACAAGTCAAACTTACTGTTACAGAGAACTTTGTTGGTGAGGCTTTGTTGAGGCAGCCTCAGTCCAAATGCATCTTCCTTCAAACTACAGTTCAGAGAGTCATTTTATCGGATCATTATGTTCAACTATTAGCTCTCTAAATAATCACCAAGATTTAATGACCCTTGTCATGGTGCTCTCATTTGCATAGGAGTCAGATTGACAGTCTGTAGGCAATCAGCACTTATAAATGCCACAATGTGTTCTGTAATGGTAGCACTCACAACACGAGTCCACGGGATGTCTGCATCACGTAATGTGGAGAGAGTAAACATTTTCTAATGGAGTGAAAGCTAAAGGATGAGAATATTCACAGGTTATTCTCTGGATTTCATCATTTCAGCTGAACTGAGCACATAATGCAGATGGCTGAGCCCAGCTGAGGTTTTGGCATTTGTGCTGCTGCTATCTTTAGTTCCCATATGATCAATATGAGCCTATATACTGTGGTAATAAGACCCTGAAGATAACTAGCAAAGCTATGAATCATTCAGCAGCTCGAACCGTGACATCTGATGGATTTTCAGAGAATCTTTTCCGTAGAAGGGAGTCTGATTAGGACACTGCGAACGTGCAATTCTGATCGGATAACAGACTTTCATAACAGGGTTTTTCACAGCTGCACCAATGAACCCATGAAGAACCTTTTCACACACTCAGTACACAAATACACTCATAAATCTGCATGTGCAGCTTTACAACACAACAAATTCGACCAAATTAATTCCTTTTATTTGAAAGCTGTGTAGTGCCTCTAGATGCTTTTTTGACTGCATATTGAGCTGCGACAGGAGGATGTGCAGCTTACTTCAGGTAGGTTTCTGGCAGCCCTGTGCAGCTTTTTTACTAGCCAGTGGCAGCGGATGTGCAGCTCCCTAAAAATAAACCACACTTTTGAAGAAGTCCTCACTCTGCACTAACAGCAAGATGCAGCATACGCAGAGCTTTAGTCATCAGATGAACGGGGACTTCTGTGTCTTGTGTCCAGTCCTATCTATTTGTAAAGCAATTTGTTTTCTGATGACATTCTAACAATCAACCATGAGTCATTTTTGCAATCAGAGCTGTTAGGTGAGTCACATGCTGCTGTAGTGGATGTGATGGGAAGTTTCCAGGCAAATGGCAGCACTTTGCTCCAAGTTGGAAAGATGTCCCACGTGTTTCCTTTGTCCTCCCTCTCATTTTCTGCGTGTTTCTCTTTCTCTAGTTTTCTCTTCCGTCCCTTACTGTCGTCGCCTGCTCCACTGTCTCAGCCATTGTGAGAAAGGAAGTGTGTCACATTACTTGTGTGTTTTTATTAGCAGGAATGTGCGTGGGACACTTGCAGATGGTTTTCACAAGATTTAGGAATTCCTCGGAAACTCTACAACAATGAGCTATCCTCTGGAGTCGCAGCTTTGACTATTTATTCCCACAACTGTCGACTTTATTACTGGGTTACATTTTCAGAAGAACCCTTAATTACCAGCAGTAGATTTCCTCAGTAACACACGAGACGTGATAAATCAAGTGCAGCTGACGCAGTCTGATTGCTAAACAGAGTCCAGATTAATGCAGCATGTTATTTTATTGCTTTAACTCGAAGATCTTTTATTCAAGGAACCAATATTTCACTACATGACAAATATTGGAAGACTGAGCAGACACTGAATAATGAGAATCAAAATAAATCAGACTCCAATACAGATGACTGAAACTCTGTAACTGTGTGGCTCAACATTGACCTCGTTATAACAGCATGGGTCATAAAGCAGGTTACTCGCTTGCAACGTTGCTGCCGTACAACTGCAGCCAAGAGATGCACTGGATGAATCCGGTTCAATGCAGCACAGGATATTTCCTTGATGAGTGCAAAAAAAGTTTAGGATGAGCCCGTTTGGAGGAAAGGGGAAAAAAACCCTGTCAGCCACTCTGGAGAGATGCTGTGCAGTGGTCATCCACACTGATAGCAGAGTGTGTGCTTGTCTGGCAGAACATCTTCATGGGTTTCTGTCTGTACTGAATGCCAGTTATTGTTCTTTGAGATGAACTGTTGTAATTTACTTTTTTGGTGTGCCTGCCCTCCCACACAGTCTTAAAACAATCTGTCAACAACCACCAGAGAGTAGCACTTGGATGCTCTTGCCTCGGGGTATAATCTTAAGTGTGATAGTAACACTGAGATGTTTTTCCCAGCGAAGATAAAGTGAGACTTCATATACTCAGAAAGTACATATCTTGTGACTGCATTGCATAAAATAGTTTTGTTTTAAACTGTGATAAGGCATGGTAAACTGAATCATGTTTCCATCCATAATGTCATTGTTAAGTTAATAAAGTTAATAAAATTAAAGCGTCCTGATAGCTCACCGGTTGGAGTCCTTGCTGAAGTGTCCATGGGTTTGCCTCTGACCTGTGGCCTTTTGCTGTGTGTCATCCCCTCTCTCTTTTCCCCCTTTCCTGCCGCTCTACAGCTGTCCCTATAAAAAAGCATAGTTAAATCATCTTCAACAAAGACATATCAGCCAACTGATGTCAATCAGCGTAGTGAGACTTCAGCGTAGTGAGACTTCTGTTATTCTGGTCTATATCGGCTGCTTTTGTCAGAGAAATTGCATCCAAATTGCAAAAATCTCAACATGAAATGTGATGTTCTACATTTGGCCACTTATCCATGGGGAAAGGAAAACAGTACATTACCTGTTTTTGTAGACTAATAAGGACGTTTATGTCATATTATTTTAGTCTATGGGAAATTTTGTGGCTCAGAGTAAAATGTCTCGACAAGTACTGGATGGATTTCTATTAAATTTAGTACAGATGTTTGTTTTCGCCTCAAAATGAATTGTCATAACTTTGTAAAAACTAATTAGCAAGCATGTTAACATGCTAAACTACGATGGTGAACATGATGAACAGTATAACTGCTTAACATCAGCATGTTAAGAGTTTTCATTTTATGCATGTTAGCTTGCTGATGTTAGCATTTAGCCACCAGCATGGCTGTAAGGAAGTGTGTCTATGTTCCCAAGGTCCTATGATTCCAACATCCTATGTTTCTAGGGTCCTATGTACCCTTCTATTGTGCTCAGGTCAAAACCCCAACCCTGGGAACATAGGACACTTTGTCATGTCCCATTACGTACCAT